AACATGTGAAAATTCAAAATTAATTAATTATTTTTGATTTAAGCCCCTAATTGACATACTATTTAATAATGATACTTTCTATTTAATTTAATATATTCAAATTTCAATTAAGATTTTATTCAAATTCAAATTCAAAATTAATTATTAATTATTTCTTTTGAGTCTCTAATTAAAATCTCATTTAATAATGATGCTCTCCATTTAATTCAATATATCCAAATCTCAATCAAATATTATTCAAATCTAATTAATTGAATATATTTGGATCTCATAATGTCACACCTGACTCATTTTAAAATGAATAGGACATTGCAAGTTTTTCAAAAATATAGTTGATTGATACTGTTCTAATTATAAAACCTCGTTTTTAAATTATAAATGAGGTTTATAATTAGGACCGAAAATAGTACTCCTTTCGTCTCATTTTATAAGCAACAACTTCCATCTCCATCTTCTTTCTAAATATAAGCAACATTGGCAAGTTGTCTTAAATTTTTGTAGCAAATTTCCTATTTTACCCCTATTAATTACTTATTCATACTCAATATATTTATTATCTCATTTTTCAAAATATCATCTTTCCATCACACATTCTTTGTCTTACATAATTCTTTTTATTATAATAATTTTCTTATTATCTCTCTTATATTCTCCCCCCTCATAAATAAAGACATTTTAGTGAAAGAACTTCTAATTTTTACACATTTATTGTCTTTAACAAATTTTAACTAATATTTTGGTCCATGTGATGAATTCCAATGTTGTTTATAATATGGGCAGAGGGAGTATTACTTTCGATATCTTTTATATTTTATATCAAGTGATAATAAAATATATCGACGATGGAATTAAAACTTATGAATTCCGAGCATCATTTAAACTCGGGAGATAAGGAATAAAGAGAACAATAATAGGTTATGAATGGCAGCAGAACCAGATGCCTTATAAATAATATAATTTTATTTCTTTAGTTGCATATCTCCCATTTAGTCACACCACCACTTGCTCTTCATCTCTCAAAACTTTTTCTTATGGAATATATTCCTTTATCTTTTTTCCCTCCATATTCTTCTAAATAAATTCCCTACACACGCACAATTAATATATAAAAATATATTCCATTGATGTATGTATATGTGTGTATGTGTGTGTGGTTGAACTTATCAAATTTGAGAATAATCACTTTCTCGAACATGTACGTTTTCATGAGGCTAGAAATCCATTATACACAAGATCAAGGTGTTTATCCCATTAATTAATTAATTAATATAAAAAAATACAGCATGCACTTGAACTTTTTTTTTTCCCTTGTACATCCTTCAGTAATCAGAATTCATCATTAACTAAATTTATTATTTTTCCAGATTCAAATGAGTGAAAAATCTCACTTAACTGTTCTTCGGTGAACATATATGGGGGAGAGACGAAGAAATCACAAAATAAAACAAAAGAGTAAATTATGCAATTGTTTTTACAAATTTTGTTGACATTGGTATATTCATCCTTGATTCTTAAAATCTACATACTCCTCCGGTCCTTAATATAGGACTCGTTTAACTAATTTGATTAGATTAAGGAAGTTAGTTAATTATAAGAAAAGTGACACATTTTTCCTAAAACACCATGATCATCTTTTTTAATACCTCATCTCCCTCTTCTATTTGATTATGGTTGAGGGAGTATCTATAGGGGTAATTTAGAGAAAATTGATAAATATGAGAAATGAGTCTTATATTTAGGACCAAAACCAACTCAAGAATTGGGTCCTATATTAAGGACCGGAGGAGTATTAAAAATAGAAAAGATGTCTATGTAATTTTATTAAAATTTAATAGAGGTGTCTTGCAACAAAAAAAAACTAAGCATGGTGTAATTCACTATTCATTTTCAATGACATCTTGACTTGAAAATAGATAAAATCCATAGAATTTAGTTTTGTTTTTTTTAATGTAAAAATTTTATGAATTAGATCCTTTTTGTTCACTTCAATTTCAAGGACTCGTGCATATATAAAGAGTGCGATGTGGGATTGTGAGCCTATAATGTGTGCGTAGAAACACTGAAATAATGGGGCTGTTTAATTCTACACCATCACCGCCATCGTCGCCTCCACCTTCACCTCCGCCTCCGCCTCCGCCTCCGCCTCTGCCTCTGCCGCTGCCGCTGCCGCTGCCCTGCCCCCACCCGAACAATTACCACCACCACCAGCTTTTATATGAAATTGAAGGTGGGGCTTGGAAACAAGGCCTTGTCATCAAAGGAGTCTCCATCAAACCTAATCCCAATGACTACAGAATTTCTCTGGATTGATGCAAATCACACACTTTGATAGGTCATCTGGTACTGCTCTAGAGTATAATAAAACTGATCGTAGAGTTTTATGTACCAGTTTCAGCTTATATGTGTGTGTGTGTGTGTTGAGATGCTTATGGAATAGTACAGAACAAAGTGGATTGCAGCATGGCTCACAAAATTAGTGTTGTGATTCTAATTTGGCCAGATAAACCCTGATTCAATACAGTACACCTGTGCAGAGATTTTATGAAACTCAAATTTCAGCAGATCTCACAAAATTTTTCTTTTGGAGCGGAAGTATGTTCATTCAGGCGTACTAGTAATTACTAATTTTACAGAAAAGCTGGAGGGTTTGTAAATACGAAAGAAACAAGAAGAAGAAAAGAAAGAATAGAACAAAGTCACGTAACTTGTAAATAATTAGAAAATTTTCGCCCATGCGATGCACAGACCAGAGCATTTGATTAGATATTAAATTCTAATAAATTACATTATTTTAGATAGCTGAAAGTCTTTTTTTTTATAGTAATATTATTATTTTTTATTTATTCAAATGAGATTTAAATTAGAGGTGTGGAATTTAGGGTGAACATGTGAAAATTCAAAATTCAAAATTAATTAATTATTTTTCTATTTAAGCCTCCAATTGACATACTATTTAATAATGATGCTTTCCATTTAATTCAATATATTCAAATTTCAATTAAAATATTATTCAAATTCAAAATTAATTATTAATTATTTCTTTTGAGTCTCCAATTAAAATCTCATTTAATAATGATGCTATCCATTTAATTCAATATGCCCAAATCTCAATCAAAATATTATTTAAATCTAATTAATTAAATATATTTGGATCTCATAATGTCATACCTGACTCATTTTAAAATGAATCGGGTATTGCAAGTTTTCAAGAATATGGTTGATTGATACTGTTCTATATCTTTTATATTTAGGACTGAAAGTAATATTACTTTCTATATCTTTTATATTTTATATCAAGTGATAATAAAATATACTCGCGATGGAATTAAAACTTTTGAATTCAGAGCACCTTTTAAACTTGGGAGATAAGGAATAAAGAAAACAATGATAGGTTATGAATGGCAGCAGAACCAGATGCCTTATAAATAATAATCGTATAATTCTATTTCTTTAGTTGTGTACCTCCCATTTAATCACATCACCACTTGCTCTTCATCTTGCAAAACTTTTTCTTATGGAATATATTCCCTTATCTTTTTTCCCTCCATATTCTTCTAAATACATTCCCTACACACACACACAATTAATATATAAAAATATATTACCTCTGGTCCTAATTATAAGAGCTAGTTGACCAATTTGAAGAGATTAAGGAAAGAAGTTAAGTTAGTTATTTGTCATAAATAGGTGTTATCTTTCTTAAAATATCCTTACTAATCAAGTGTATTAGCTAAAACCAAGGTTGTCAAACTCGCGAGTTTAAACAAACTCGTGAGAATGATATAAACTCGAATCGTAAACTCGAATAGTAAGAATTTACTTTTATTAATAAACTAGTATTAAAAGTATATAATCAAATAATTAATATATAAAAAATGAGCACAGTTTCATTTAAATATATTTTAAATTTAAATAATTGAAATTATATCCATCAATGTTTATAATTTATCACATTCAACCAAAAAATTTCTATAAAATTCATATATAAAGTCACTAAATATAATCAAATTCAAAAATTTAGTACGAGTTTAAGAACGAGTTAACATGATTTTGTAAGTTTAAAACGTAAAAACGATAAACTCGATAAGTGAACTCATAAGTTTAATCAAATTTACAGTTATCACGAGTTTAAGAGTGAATCGATACAATTTTATTGGCTGAAAACGTAAAAATATTAAACTCAGAAAGTCAACTAGCGAGTTTGATAATAGTGGCTAAAACTGCCATTATTATAAGGACTATTTTCGAAAAAATACATAAATATTAAAGACAAGGTGGAATTGGGTCTTATATTTAGGACCAAAATAAAAGTCAAATGAGATTCTATATTAAGGACTAAAGATAGTATTCCATTAATATATATGTATGTATGTATGTATGTATGATGCATGCTTGAACTTAATCAAATTTGAGAATAATCACTTTCTCGAACATGTACGTTTTCACGAGGCTAGAAATCCATTATACACAAGATCAATGTGTTTATCCTGTTAATTAATTAATTAATATATAAAAATACAGCATGCACTTTAACTTTTTTTCCTTGTCCATCCTTCAGGAATCAGAATTCATCACTAGCTAAATTTAGTATTCTTTTTAGATTCAAATGAGTGAAAAATCTCACTTAACTGTTCTCCCGTGCACAGATATGGAGGAGAGACAAAGAAATCACAAAATAAAACAATAGAGTGAATTGTACAATTTTTTTACAAATTTTGTTGACATTAGTATATTCGTCCTTGATTCTTAAAATCTACATATTAAAAATAGAAAAGATGTCTATGTAATTTTATTGAAATTTAATAGAGGTGTCTTGTAAAAAAATTTAAGTGTGATGTAATTTACTATTCATTTTCAACAAAGACATCTAGAATTTAAAATAGATAAAATCCATAGAATTTGATTTTTTTTTTAAATGTAAAAAATTTGATAAATGAGATCCGTTTAGTTCACTTCGATTTGAAGGACCTGTGCATATATAAGTATAATGAGCGCGTTGTGGAATTGTGAGCCTACAGTGTACGCATAGAAATAATGGGGAATGAAAACTCCACCCCAGCCCCACCGCAGCCACGACCCCTACCACCATCATCTTTGCCACCACCTCCACCAGCAGTGGCCGGTCAGAGAAGAGAAGCTCCTCCACCACCTCCAGCTGCAGTGGCCAGTCAAAGAAGAGAAGCTACTCCACCACCACCGCCACAAGCGGCCACTCAAGTAAGAGAGAGAAAACCCTCAGAAATAGAGAACAAGAGGGAAAAAGAAGCTGAAAAGAACACGAAAGATGGGAAACAAGGTCATCATCAAAACTTAAAGCCACCTGAAGCTGGGAGTCTCCCAAAAAACCTTCAAGACATACTGAAGGAAGCTGACTTTCCCATCGACAAGTCTTCCACGGTCAAGCTCTACGACCAGCTTTATTCTTCTGGCCTCTTTTTATCCCACAAGACCAAGGCAAGTCCCTGCCCACCTAATCGATGACTTCAATTATAAATTCGTTGTCTCAGTTCCAGCTAGTTTCTTTAGAACTTGAATGTCTGGTTAATTTCACCCAAAAAACAACTTACTACACTGATACACACACACAAACATGATGATTTGCAGAAATTCTGGATGAACAAGAAGTCGAATTGCAACTGTTTCATGCTGTATGCAAGGGCACTTTCAATCACTTGGGGAGAAGATCATCGCTATTGGAAATGGTTACAAATCCAAGAATCAAGGTACACACAATACACAAACAAGCATATTTCTCTCTCCCACAGACAGTTTAAAACAGGGTCAAAGTACAAATTTATTCTGGAAGTTTTCAATCAGACACGTTAGGCAACTAAGTTTTTTTAATGCAAATTTGTCCTGAAAATTTAAAATAGCAACAATATTGTCTTCCACCATTAAATTTTAACAGTCAATGTCATTATTTTAATCGTCAACGTTAATTTTTTAACGGTAGAGTGTAACATTGCTGACAAATGTTTCAAGGGAAAAAAACACCCTAACCTTTTAAAATATATGCACCAACTATATAATATAAATAAACCCTGATTTAGTTGGCAAAAGAAAAAAGGCCCTGATTTAAGTAATGAGAGCAATGAGGTGTGGTGTTGCAGTGGGACAATGATAGAGGCAGCTGAATTGAAAAGAGTGTGTTGGCTAGAAGTGCATGGGAGGTTAGACACAAGGAAGCTGACACCAGGAGTTATGTATCAAGTCTGCTTTCATGTGATGCTGAAAGACCCAGCACAGGGCTGGGAGGTTCCTGTGAATGTCAGGCTTGTGCTGCCAGGAGGGAAGAGGCAAGAACACAAGGAGAATTTGATCAGCAAGATGAGAGTGCAGTGGATGGAGATTCCAGTAGGGCAATTTGTAGCACCAACTCATGATGAAGGAGGAGAAATGGAATTCTCTCTGTATGAAATTGAAGGTGGGGCTTGGAAACAAGGCCTTGTCATCAAAGGAGTCTCCATCAAACCTAATCCCAATGACTACAGAATTTCTTCGGATTGATGCAAATCATGCACTATGACAGGTCATCTGGTAATGTTCTAGAGTAAAATAAAAACTGATCGTGGAGTTTTATGTACTAGTTTCAGCTTATATATAATCTGGTACTGTTCTAGAGTATAATAAAACTGATCGTAGAGTTTTATGTACTAGTTTCAGCTTATATATATATATATATATATAGAGAGAGAGAGAGAGAGAGATGCTTATGGACTAGTATGGAACAAAGCAGATTGCAGCATGGCTCACAAAATTAGTGTTGTGATTCTAATTTGACTAGGTAAACCCTGATTCAATGCATCTGTGCAGAAATTTTATGAAACTCAAATGTCAGTACATCTCACAAATATTTGCTTTTGGAGCAGAAGTATGTTTATTCAGGCATACTAGTAATTATTAATTTTACAAAAATGCTGGAAGGTTCGTAGATATGAAAGAAACAAGAAAAAGAAAAGAAAAATGATCTATGGCTTTTATTCGATTGATGCTCAAATTGTGGCGGCGTCTCCATAGGAAAAAGCAATTTGTCGGTGCTTTAAACATCTGCTCTGTATCCATCAGGTTTATACCACAATGAAAAATCAATCCCTTTGCTTATTAATTTCTCTGTGGCAGGTCCAATTTTCTCCAGCAGCTGAACTCGTCAAGGCAAAAAAAAAAAAAAAAAAAAAAATCATAATCATAAAAGAAAAGGATGTCAACATGTAAGAATTCTGGCTAAATTATGATGATCAATCTCAACGAACCTTAAGTAATTCATTCATTTTGTTCCATATCGTGGCAAAAGTTCAAGGACAAGCAATTCGATAGGCTTGCATGCGATATACACGAAGGTTATAAGGAATAATCAACTATTAAAGATAACTTCACACTTCAGGGTATTTGCGAGATCAGAAAGGATGCCCCCAAATGAAGGCTGAAAAAGAAAATAGGCCCAGGTATATGCAACTTGCAGTTCATTATTTTCAGATATTTATATCGTACTAGGAGAATGTACATAGGCATAGCAAATAAATTATCAAGCAAGTTAAGAGCGAAACAATCAGGGCACTAACCTTTGTATGGATCACACCATTGGAAACCAAAACAGATCTATCGAATACGCAAAATTGTCCACCGTCCATCCGAGTAACTCTCCCACCAGCTTCTTCAACCATCTACAAGAAGGAAAATAGAATCGAACTTCTAGTAAACAACGTTCATTAGGGCCATGGGAGACTGAGCTCTTCCACAAGTTGGTCAAAGACAAATTTGGATGCAAGAAATGCTTGAGGAATAAGAAGTACTTGTTGTTTTCTCACTCTGAAGTCACTCAAGTGGATTTTAGACCACAATTTCACCCTTGCTGTCTAGGGGACACTCAGTCAAAGGTGCAGTGCTGGCTAACTTGTGATAACGAGGGTCAGTGTGTACAACTCATAAAGCTTACCAACACGCCAGCAGCCATGTCCCAGGGCTTTAGACGATATTCCCAGTATGCTTCTACAATCCCTAAAGCTACATGACACATATCCACTGCAGCAGCACCAAGTCGCCTAACTCCCTGAACATCAAATATTCAAAAATTGAGAGAGAGAAGTGAAAGGCAGAGAAACGAGGAACAAACTCTTGAGGAGTACATGAGTAGAATTTAGGTGATTACCCTGCTGACATCAGTAAATTCTTTGAATAATTCTATGTTTGTAGACCATGCATCATCGTGGTCATACCCAAATCCTGTAACCAGAAGAGATCGCTCCACCTGAAAAAAGGAAAATGAAGATTAGTTTACACAGAACAGTGGGGAAATTGGATTACTTTCCCCGAATAAATTAAAAATTACAATGACAATGAAGCATTAAATAATATTTGGTAAATCCAAATCAATCAACCGCAACTTGTCAAAAATAATAATTATGGGCAAAGTGTGTTTACATATTAAAGAAGAATGAATATCTTATCAAATAAGATGAATGAATGAATATAAACATATAATGTAGAAAACCCTCCATTACTAACATAAAACTGAAAAGACAAACTTAACGGGGACAAAAAACTATTATGTCAAGGATAATTACAATATCCTTGAACAAACTCTCAAGACCAAACCAAGCATCACATGTCATGTTAATTGGCTTAGCACTATCCATTATGAAAGTTTAAATAATCCATTCCTCGTAAGTTGCGACACTTACTGCAACAATTTTTGATAACTCTTCAACAATAGTAATTACAAAGCCTTGTGAGACACAGAAAATGATATAGAAAATCCATCGTTAGAAGAGAAAAGTTCACTAATCACCAAATGAGAAAAGTAGAAAACAAAAAATGGAATCCAAAAAATACTAAAAAATTATCATAACACATCAGCAAAAATACTTGATTTGTGCAACATTAGTATTACACAAAACTACAGTAAGAGATTCCAGACTCCAGTGACCATCTACTGCAGCCGCTTATCCATTTTAGCCTATATCGCACATCAAAGGTAGCTTCTAGTGTTACTCACCTGATCATTTGTACTAACGTGGATCCTTTGTCCGTTGCAGAATGCTCCCCCACCTATAAGGTAAAAGTACTGGTTGCAGAGTAATGATATGAAGTTTATAAACAAATAAATTAGATAAATAATTTTCAATTTCTTTTTGGTGCAAATAGAAGTTAAAATAAAATAATCTTCACCAGCAGCTGCAGAGAAAGTGCGGGTATTCCAACACATAGGACCTCCTACAAACTCAACCTGAAATAGATAAAAATTTATATTAATAAATCAACGACATTTCTTCCAGTTTTATCCAGCATGGTAGAAGCTATAATAAAGGATTGATTGATGTTCCATATCTGATGAGCAGTTATGAACCTAAAACCATATGCTTCTGTAAAACAAAATAAAAATATCACTAAGAAAAGACAAACTCTAAGCAAGGATGTGAATTCCAAGGCAATAAAAATTGGAAAAAAAATGAAGAAAAGAAGACAACATTACAACCAAAAAACGTCACAAAATGAAAAATGTTAAGCCAGTATGCCACCCTCCATCTCTTTCAAAATGCATGAGGAATCTTCTACATAAACCATGAGATCAAAAGCATGGAGAAGTACGAACACTCCTATCCACCATAAGGTAAATTAACAAAAATAATTTACAACAGCAAATGTAAAAATCTCAATGGAACTCGATTTTTCTTGCTAGAACCAGTCAGTGTTATGTTCCAGAAATCCTTCAAATGTGACGCACAACCAAACTTGTTGACATAAACCATAAAGTCTACATGACAAGCTCCAAGCCACAGGGTGACATAAGTTACTACAGATCTAGCAACTATCACATACATGAACTTGAATCCAAAAACCTCATTATCAACAGTTCAATCAAATTATAACCGGAAAAAAAAATTTCAAAGCCTTTGATGGTGCCATTTGTAATACTAAAATTACACTAAAACTATATTTGAGCTCTTCTCGACATGCAAAGAAAATACCACTGGAGCTTTAACTTACTGAACTTGCCAATTCTGACTACATGGACGATGGCATTTGATACACCTTCAATAAGTTTCAATGTATATGATTCGTTCACAATCAATTAATTGAAAATGATCCTTTTTTAATCCATTACTAGAAACATCCAAAAAGTGTTGTCTTATATGTAAATTTCATTCAATCATAGCTACACACATCATGCATCATTTCAATACTTAGACTTGAGAGAAACCACTTTTAAATCACAAGAGTAGAGATTAAGTACATCGAACAGAAACAATTTTTCTGTCCTGTTTTCATCAAATTCAAGCAATAGCCAAGTTTTCGTTTCTACATATCAGTATTTTAAAAAAAAGAACTTTTAGAGAGTCAATTAGTACTGAAGTTATTCTTGTTTATTTCATCCCATCATTACATAAACAGACATGCAAATAACAAAAAATTAAAATTAAAGATACGGTTAAAGTACCACAGCAGCAGCTGCAGGATTCCCTCGATAGAGAACTCCAACAGACACTGCAAAGCTAGGATAGCCGTGTGCAAAGTTTGTTGTCCCATCTACATACATATCAAAGATTGTAGGTGAATTATCTGAGTATCAAATCTATATAAATTTCAATAAAAAGTAAAAAAGCTTGACAAACATGCTGTCTGACGTGCATAAACGCAAGCATACATAAAGGGCTCTTTTTTAGAAGAAACTTCATTAAAAACAGAGAACCATATGAAGGGCATTGATATCATCCTTTTAAAAATAGGCGTAAGGAGGTATTGAAAATTTAGGAAAAACTTCCAGGCTAAGGAAATATTTGCTTGTAATGGCCCCATAGTAAAAGGCATAGTGCCTTTGTTTAGTTATATTATTAGCAAAGAAGAGGCTGACAGTCATTGGGTTATTCATCCACTCATTGAATCTTTCATTAATATATTTTGTTCACCATCCCTTCCCGACCTCACTTTTGCTCTTCTTATTGTCTCAACAATGACAAGCAAAAATGAGTTTGGACTGAAATTTCAAACCTAAAGGATCAATGCACCAGAGATAATCAGACGCTGAATCTCCTATAACTCCACCCTCTTCTCCAAGAATAAGATGATCTTTAAAATGCTTTTTCACCACTTGCAATATGGCAGCTTCACTCGTTTTATCTGTCCTGTAGATAATAACAAACTTATCTGAGAATAAGATTGAAAGACAAAGAAATCTTCATCTGTTAATGCAATAATTCAACAAAAAATAGTTGAAGCTCAACCATGGAAAAAGACTTGGAGTTCAGGCTTTGAAGATTATATACATTCAAAGAAAATCGATGTCTGAAGTTAATAACACTCGACAGAAAAGGTACTTTTCTGTAGAAAAAGAGATATAATACCCAAGCCCACATGATTAGAGATTCAATGAGACCTTACTCGGTCACCAAGTCAGTTAATCCTTTATACGTAATATTCCGTGGCTTATTGACAGCATCCATCACAACCTGGAAATAACAAAATAGATATTATAAAAAAAATGGTAATGTAGTTAAAAAATATGATAATTCACTCAACCGTTTCTAATATCTATCACCTCTCTATTTCCGCTTCTATGCATCAAACGAAACTCTACTTTTCCCACAACGGCATTATTCCAGTTTCCAGTGTTTTCACTTCGAGTTAATTAATTTTTTCACAAGAATTACCAATATTTCATTATATTTCACTGCATACGTTAGGAGATATCCCTTATTGAGAGTTGTCGCAGATAATCAAAGGCTCACAAAGATTAGAGTGAGACTTCTAATTACAAAATAGAAGCTCTTGCATTTTGAAATCTCAGAAGAAGAAAAAATTCCTTTTTCCTTTTCGTCTAAAGCTAATTTGGGGGGAAAACAAAAATAAGCCATTGAAGTGGCGATCATGCAAAGCCTCAAAATGCGGTAAAGGAAATGACAAACCTCAGCACCAGTCTGAGCAGCTGATTTGACCACTTCAATGAGCTCAGCAGGATCAATGGGTCCAGTTGATTGGGCACCCACTTTCGGAAACCTTTCAGACATCAAAGATTTTGTTATGAAGTGGGGTCTCGTTGATATTGAGCTCCAATTTCGTTGGAATTTTCCGAATCCTTGAGGGAAAGTCCGACAAAATTGGTTTCGGATGCATAGCGACGACCTGGGTACCACAGAAAACACGGGTTGAAGGTTTAAGCTAGCCGAGAAGACCATTGATGTAAGTTCAAAATGCGTCCTTTCTTCTGCTGTGAACCTCTGCTTTGAGATTGTGAAGTGGGAAATGAGAACGAAGGAGACTCGATGAAAAACTATGCATTGCCAATATACAATATTAAATGAACAGTTGAAAAAATAGTTTTTTTGACTGAAATAATTAAAAACCAGCTCGGGCCGAGATTTTGCAGTCTCCTTCAACTCCTTGTACGAATTCTGCCAAGCAGCCCTCGGGGTTTTTTTGGATGCAATGCAACGCTCGTATTTAATTACTGTTACTTTATATTTTCCCCGCCAAATAAATGTTTTATGTTGGTATTGTTATTTTTGGGCGGGAGCGCGCAAACGATAATATGTACTACCAAGCTACTACATTTGAATAATTGAATCGGTAATTGTAATGCTTAAATGTAATTAACGGATAATATTATAAATAGTAACTGAAATTAGATTTATTTTATCCTTTAATAATTATGTAATTAATAGGATATTTATGTTGATCCCAACAAATCAAAAAGAATTTAGGGAAGCCACTTCGATTTTTCCTTTTGGCCGACGGCAAGCACTATGATTTGAAAATAGTGAATAAATTATATGATTTTAAAACATTTAGATTAATCAAGTCATTGAATATGAGATAATATTATTTGTAATTTCTAAATAGGATAATTATCTTTATTTTTTTATTCTGGATCTATATATTTAATTTATATATTTATATATAATATACAATTATAATTTATATATTTTTATTCAGGACCCAATCTAGAATTTCTTATATTCTAAGGGTTTTTTCTGAAAATTTTCCTAAATATATAATGTTGAAAAAAGTAGTTTTAATTTTAATGCTTTTTTTTTGCCGCAAGTTTCTTTTTCCTATACTGGATAAATTCATAGTTTTTTTCACATATCAAAATTTAGTTTACTCCTTGTTGCTGGCATCCGAAGTTCGAACTTTCACTCGAGTGGGATAATTCAGTTCACATTTGCTGAAAGAAGATGAAGCTCGCGTCGCTAATTTCTAGTTGCAGCAACTATGCTCATCCCCTCTCGATTAAGGTAGGCCTCTTGTATCTCACACTGTTCTTGTCTTATCATTCTGCAGTTTTCGAGACTGAGGAAAAATTCAATTGTGAAGGGAGAACAGAATCTCATTCCTGCAAAAGCAGAAAATGTGAAGTTTTCTTTCAAGAGCTTGGCTCCGCCTTTAGTGGCTGCGCTCGTGGCCTTATCTCCGTTGTGCTGTACTCCAGGTTAGCCACTCAAGCCTAATCTGAATTTTGAGGAATCGCCACTTGTTTTTTTTCCTGAAATACTAAAGTGCCCCTGCTTTCGGTTCAAACTTCCATAAATGCCATTGCTTGTTTTCTTACCTCGTTTTCTACTCGCCTCTATGTTAACCAGAAAAGGTATAACTCCCTTTCAGTCTTTTCTTACGTTGGCATATTCTATCACATTGGTCCTGAAATTGGTTAAATTTCATCTACTAGTTAACGTCTAGTTTTGAGTGAGTCGCTAAATGATGAATGTTTTGTTAGAGGAGGGCTTTAAGTCTTAAGAGCTTTAATTCTTAGGCCAAGTATGAATAGAATCTTGAAAAGGCTGTTATAAGCATCTAATTTCTAATTGAATATCATAAACCAATGCGACTTATCTTGGCATGGCCAATGCTGAACAGGAGATAAACAATCCAACACTTGACTTTTAGTCATGCAGGTATGAAAATGCCTTGATACAAGGAGACGAAATTCTTCTAGAAGAGGTTGAAGAGAAAATTAGCAGAATTTCTATGTCTGGTTAGAATTGGTAAGGAAACGGAAAGGGAATACAAGGTTAAATAGTGAAAATATGATTAAAAAACTGTTCTTGAGGATTCTACTTCGGCATTTCTTTTCCCTTTTTCTTTTTTAATTTTTGCACTCGAGCTTTTTGTTCCAGAAAAAATGTGGCCCAGACTAAAATGTTTGATGTTCAATTCATATTGATGTGATTTTAAAAATACTCATAAAACATGTTGCATAACAGATTGAACTCTTTCAATGAACTGATCATTGACTTGGCATGCGACCTTAAGCCTCACTAACCAAGTGAACAGGAGTTTGATTTTTTTTTCTATTCCCACTTTAAGCAGTGAGTTCAATTATTGCTCATCCTATTCTCTTCATTAAAAGTAAGTTTTGGTACAAGGCATGGCAGATTAATTCATTGCCCACCTTTCAAGTCTGAAGGACTTTCTTTCAAAAGGATGTATTAGAGATTTGATTAAGCCAAGATGGACCTTCACTTAACATGTTGAAGTTTGTGAGGAAACGGTTTTTGACAGAGCCAGTTGGCACACGGATGCCTACAATGTATTGTAATGCAAAATTTTCCCTTTGCTTGGTCTTGTTTCACACTTATTTTCATTACTAAGGGGAAAAAAGGATTTTGACAAACAAATGAGAACTTCTAGACGTGTCAATTGTTCTGAATGCAGCAGAACCATGCAGTTTGTACTCTTGTTGACTTCTTACAATATATGCCACAGTTTCAAATGGCCAAATGATAGATATCCAGAGAGGAGGCTCATTGTTTCGTCAAGCTTGTATTGGTTGCCATGATGCTGGTGGGAACATAATACAGCCAGTGAGCTTCCATTTGCACAAGACATCTGGTTGTACATGTATGTTCTTTCATGTCATTTCTCTGATTCATATTCCTTTCTCTTCCAGGGAGCAACACTATTTCTAAAGGATTTACAGAGGTAATGAACAACTTCTTGAGCATTCTTATGATGTAGATAAACATAGAAACGTCAAGATTTCAAAAGGATTTACAAATCTAAGTCATTGTTGAATTTTCAGGACACATTTTTGACAAATTATGGGGTAAATTAATATTTTGGTACTCTTGAAATATAGTATTTCGCTTATTAATTCTTCATCAATGCTATCTTTAATTTTCGTTTTCATAGCTAAATTATTGACAAAAGTGAAACAATGTGTTTGTTCTAACTGTCCAGTAATTAATACGCTGAAAAAGACTTTTTGAGTAATTTGGCAAATAAAACATTAATTTGAGCAGACAGAGGAAGTAAATTGGGGGGGGGGTTTAAAAAACAAAGGACTACAGTAAAGAAGTTTGAGTAATTCGAGGACCAATTGGCGTAGCTCAAATTTTGAAGGAAAAGTAATGATGTCAAGTTTGGGACTCGTGTTCTAGATCTTTATGATAAATTGCTGTCTTATACATGTAGTTATTTTGTTCATGCTAGTTTTGAAGAATACTTCTTAGATTCCATCTTTCGTTAAAAATAACTTTAATGTTGGCCCTGCAGAAATGGAGTTGACACAGAAGAAGAGATCTACCGAATCACATACTATGGCAAGGGAAGAATGCCGGTGCGTTCTCCCGTGGAGTCCAGGACTTGCTAAATCTGAGACAAGGAAACAAAAATGAAAATTTGTGTCTCTGTTAATAATAGAACTGAAAGGGAACTGACAAATACTCAACAAAAGAATGGAGTCTCAGTAAATTGATCGTTCCCCACTTACAGATTTGTCCTTTTCTTTTGGGTAACTCTAAGGGGATAGGCCCACTTACGGATTTGTCCTTCACTATTCTAAGTTTTGTGTAAACTAAATTTCTATTTTGGGAATGTCTGATATGTACATAGTTGCATACTTATATATACAGGGATTTGGTAAGGAATGTATGCCCCGAGGCCAGTGCACATTTGGAGCTCGTTTGGACGATGATGACATAAAGATCTTAGCTGAGTTTGTGAGGATGCAGGCTGACCAAGGATGGCCAACTATACAAAATCCACAAGATTGATTCAGATACTAGCCTATGTATGCATTCATTTACTGTATCATAACAAATAGATGCGTAGTGATTCTATCAAGTTCATTCATTTGAGGCTCTACTTAATGCTACTGCCTGATTCTGCTTCCTTTCTTCTCATATTATGGTATTTTGACATCCTATGTGTTACTTGGAAGAATTATCTTCCTCTTCTTCTTTTTTTTTTATTTAAAAGTTTCGTTAAGGTAGATTTTAGATGCTGATCTTAGAATAACATTTATAAATAACTTGTTGCCAAAATCATCTTACCAATAATAAGACTCAAACTCAAGCCTTTGTCGGCATGGGACTTGCTGGACAAATCTTTTGAAAAAATTTTCAAGGTCTAATATCATTATTGTTGGTCCTAACTCCTAACAATTTGGTCCAATTTTGGTTTTGATCCCTATAATTTCATGAGAACTCAATGTGAATTTAAGTACATGAATCAAAACCAAAACTTGTTAAAAATATGAGAATCATTCATTAATTCATACCAAAAAATTATGAAACTATAAGGACTGAAACTGACAACTCCAAAGTATGAGGATCAAAATCAAAATTTGATCAAATTATAAAGATTAACAACGGTATTAATTTTTTTAATATATTCTAACTGTGTAGGTAGATTTAAATCTGAGAAGTCTAGATGTTTTTGTGTGAACTATAAATATCATTTGTCAAAACCAAGAATCCGACATATCTAAAGAGATACGTAAATATCATTTCCCACTATGTATTGCTGAGCAATTTTTATTGCGATTATCCAAAAGTTGCAAACTTGCAACATATTTAAATATTGAGGATAGATCAAAGTTTTGACCAAATGACTTGAAAAATCAACAGTCAAATTCCTTATGTGAAAAAAAATAAAAATGATGCCATACATTTTTCATTTGCAAAAAACTAATTTCATTAACATTGAGACGAAGATTATATATTAAGTGGGAAAAAGTTATTAATTTAATCACGACTAAAGTAATGACTTAATTAGTGAAAGGTTACTTCACAATTAACTAACTTGTTCGGTAAAAGCAAAACCTCCCAATTTAATCTTGGAATAAATCTCTCAGAAATCTGTTTTTAGACAAAACATTGTATCAATCTCCTCGGACTTTAGTTCTCCAAACATTCATGGATCAAAACATGCCCTTTTGACATGAACTGTCAATTTCCAAGGTTAAAGACATCTAATTAAGTAGTCTATATCATTAAGCTTCTTTTTTGCCAGAAAAATGTTTATTTCATTCATATATAACCATACACAGGAAAGAAGGCAAAGAAAGAAGAAATCTATGATAAGGAATCTGTCTATAAAGGTGGCCCCTGCCATCCAGAATCCAACCAAATCTAAAGACAAAACTGAGCCTTGTGCCCTTCTCCTTGCACTGCCTATTCATTATCTTTTACATAACGCATCTACCAAGATTCGTGGATGATCTCATCATGAAGTGATAGGAATATCCACACACATACACGAGCAGATATATTTACACATGTATTTTCCTTATAAATATTGATCCTAAATATAAGTGGTGGTTAGAAAATTAATTTTGATAATAAATATTTAATTTATTTTATCTTTTATGTTTATTATTTTTAAAGTAATTTATTTAACTCATAAGTTGAGATATAATCTAATATTAAAAAAAAGGAGTGTATTTAGGAGATTATGTAACATTTATTAAAATTAAAAACTTCAGATTAATTAGATGGTTAATATTGATTTTGATTTACATTTTGAAATGACTTATTATTTTGTCTACGGGACAAAAAAAATAAGATGACGTGAAATCAGAAGAATAATTGTGAATAATATTATATGGTTGGGTGATTGCGGGGACCAAGCGGTCTCTATCTAAAGCACATGGGAACAGTATCTTCATTAGCTGTTTATAGTAAGATTGATCATCTCAACAAGACTCTTTTGTTAATTGGCCCCAAAATATTATGACATAGGTTTTTTAATTCATTAATTAATTATTATATCTTTTCTAAGGAGGACCATATATATATAAATATATATATATATATGAAAGTTGTAGCACATGATGCTGCCAATCAATTTTACCTTGGTAGCTCGACATTGTTAATTATTAGTAGGTTAGTAATTAAATATTATCGTTTCAAAAGAACATTATTAAATTACGCATTTTTTATAGTCCTCTGGTCCTTAATATATGACCTAATTTGTTAAGTTAATTTTGATACTAAATATAAAACCTATTTATCATATTTAACAATTTTTTTAAATTATCCTTATGAATACTCTCTCTGTCATAATCAAATAAATAAAAGAGAAAGAATATTAAGAAAAATGATTATAGTTTTTTAGGAAAAACATATTATATTTCTTATAATTAACTAATTTACCTAACTTTCTTAATCTAATCAAATTAGCTAATATTAGATCAACGTTAAGTGGCTGTAATTTAAAGGATCAAGGTGAAATGAGCACAAATGTATAAGATAGCATGGCAGGATAATCGGGTGTGAATCTATTATAAATTATTGACTTCACAATCAATTAATGCAGGATCATTAAGTTATTTGGTACTGAAGAATGATTGATTACTAATTTGCTTCATCAAAAGAGGAATCTAACTGCAAAAGCATAAGAATTTATAGTAATTTCATATTTTAAGGAAGAAATAAATAGTAAATTAAACGGGGCCAATTAACAAGTAACAACTTGTTCCCGACATGTGCAATTTCTGGCAATTTCCTGCTTATCTTTTTTATTTCTTCAAGGATACGTGGTCCCTATCGTATAATGTGCCATGCAAATGACTGAAAACCCTAGAGAGAGAGAAGGGCAATTACCAAGTCATTGTCAATAGCTGTAACCTGCAAGGGAGGGACCAAAAGCCATAATTAAATTATTAATTAATTAATTATTTGTCAACTCTTCCTAATCCTCTCTTCCTCTTTATCCTATCATATCGCTCACACACATATCTGTTTAGCTCTCTCTCTCTCTCTCTCTCTCTCTCTATATATATATATATATGGATGCATGAGTCCTTTTACATATAAACCGAATCCCCTTCTGCACTAGTTCAAATGTGTGCTAGCTTGCGGATATCTACCTCTATGGGAATTCCCAACAAACTAGGGTTTCTGAGTTCAATCTCTCTCTCTCTCTGTATGTTCATCACAACTCTCGAAAGTATATATGTTGGTTTGAGAGGTTGAAGCTGCCAGCATGATCTGGTAAATTACAAACCAGCTCCTCTATATATACATATATATATATATATATGCTCCATCCATTTTTTTTCATCCCTCTACACACACACACACAAGCACAAAATTAAAGCTCCTTTTTTCAATCCTAAATACTCATGTTGGTGGTAGCTACACGAGTTATACATCAGTTCATGGGGGCCTCTAATTCAATTAGAATCAAATTATAGAGTTTGTGTGGGTGTATATACATATATATGGGTGGGAAAGAAACAAAATAGTGGTGTGGTTCTTGAACATATGTTGCTGAAACTGAAAAATCCTTTTAATTAGGCTTCTTACTGGTTATTGAAACTGGAAATATAGAATTCTATCAGGAAAACAATTGGATTTTAGATCTTATTAGATACACACCTTCATATACATTGATACATACAGATATATCAGATCATCCTGCAGCTTCAATCACCCAATCACCAACAGGCAGCCAATTTCAATTCTCTCCCGACTCTGGAATTGTTCAGGGTTATATATGTTTAATTTACAGATTCAAGGTACGTACTATGCCTTCTTCAAGCCATTGTTTTTCCTATAAGCAAATTTTAATTTCTGCAATATATGATTGAAGACATATATGCACACAGATCCATGAACTGTGCTTGTATACATTTACATATATATATATATATATATATCTTCTTTTCTCATGTGTCCATGTTTTTGCAGTACTGTTTAGCAGTACTTTACCCGGACTTAGATATATAGCAGACGATATGCTTTTGAGGGGAAAAGTGATGAATGTTAGTTGACGAAGAAGAATATATTGAAGAATTAATTATGAGGATATATATGTGTGTGTGCATGAGAAAAGAATATGTAGGACAAATTGGGAGCCAAAGAAGAGATACACATGTGTGTTTGTGTGTAAATATATATATATTTGTTGATTTCAAGTAACCCTTTATTTAACTATTTTAGGAACTGTTTCATCGCAGATGACACCTTGAATTTGGTAGCCGCTTATTGGGTACAACTACATTATTTGTGGTCCACTACCCTATCACTTAAAAATTAAAAATAAAAATTCTACTTTAATTTCTCTTTTGCAATTATCAATAATTAATGGCGATCATTGTTTTTGGCCAGTTTTTTATCATTTCAAAATTCCTTAACATCCAAGTTCAGCGAAAACTTAGGGTTGGGTGTGGTATATTTCGCTAAACTTGGGTGATTATTACTTTTTTTGAATTGATGATTTTGAATTAGTTACTATCAAATGCTACCTCCAGGTGTACTTATTATAACGAATGATAGCTAAAATTTAACTATCATTTGTTTCTTATAAACAGGCTTAAAGATACTACTACCTCCGATCCTTAATATAAGACCTTATTTGATTTTTATTTTGGTCTTAAATATAAAACCTCAATCCACTTTGTCTCTCATATCTATACATTTTTTCTCAATGTAGTTCTTCTAACAATAGTAGTTTTAATCAATACACTTTATTAGTAAGGATATTTTAAAAAAAACAACACTTATTTATTACAAATAACTATCTTAATTTCTTTTTTTAATCTCCTCAAATTAGTCAATTAGCTCTTATAATTAAGACTGGAGGTAGGACTAAATACTTTGTTTGATTAAAGTTATTGAAAATAAGTTTGCCCACATATATATGTATGTGTTAAAATGAAAAGTAAAATATATAGATAAAAACCTAATCTTCCTAAAGTATACATATGGTTCGATTGTTGGGGAACCTAGCTAAACTTGATATAGTTTGATCATCTCAATACCAAACACATTCCTAAACATTTGTCATTTTAAGCTGAAGTTTTGTGCAGATTGATTTCTGCTGCATGCAGAGGCAAGTTTGGTTTGCTGATATAGAGATAACTTGGAATGAAGAAAGGTCCTTTTTTTTTTTTCCTTTTTTGAGCTGAAGGAATGAAGAAAGATCGTCCAAAGGGAAAAATCAGAAAGAAAATTAAAATTCAAACTGTTTCGCTCGATGCACAAGTTTATATTACTTAAAACGTGTGTAAGTAGAAGACAATGATTAGTTTAAGAGTTTGTTTAATGAAGAAAAGGATTTGTACAAGGCATTTTTCAGTGTAAAACCAGATAATAATTAAGGCACAAGTTAATTTTTTGTGTGTGATATGTACAATTAATTATTATTGTTTAGTGGCTAAATAAAATTAAAGATATGAGACATGCATATTGAAATATGTGTGTGTGTGTGTGTGTGTGTGTAGCTGAAAGAGATAAGAGATAAGCACGAAAGATTCCATTTTATCAAACAAGTATGAGGCTAGTTAGTTCATGTTCATCTCTCTGCGGTTTAAAATCAGACTGGATATTAAATTGAAGTACTAGCTGATATTAAATTCATCAGTTAATAGTATCACATATGCATGCATATTCCCTTACTGAGAAAATTTGGCTATTGATTTAGTGCCTTAATTATGCTTGTTCATGTGCACGACTTAATTTGACCCTCTTTTTTATAAATATTTTAATGAATTCTATTTAGGTCTAGACTTCTTTTAATGCACAATTAAACAAAGAAGAAAATATGGGCATTAGGGAGAATTATATGAAGTATATACATTCATGCATTTACTGAGAAAAAAAGATCAAAAAAATATCATCATCTTTATTTTTTCAACTGTTTCTTAGTGCACATGTATTTTTATAAAAATAAAGGATACAATTATTAGGCAGAGTCTAAACTTTGAAAAGAGAGTATTATTGTTGGTTAATCTAAAGTCCTCCTTTGTCAAGTATTAGGGCTGATAATACATTCTTCAGTTAAAATATTACTCCTCCGGTCATAAATATAAGATCCTTATATATACTCCTCCAGTCTTAAATATAAGACCCTTATGGGTCTTATATTTAGGCCTGGAGGAGTATATAAAATCTTCTTAAATCATAAATAATATAGCTCATTGCCTAACTGTTAGCTCACAACTTATTATGATTGATGCAAGCATTTGTTGACTTAATTATATGCTGTAAATGATAATCATTTGTATCAACACTAATTTACCAATTAATTAAGCCATCCCTCTCTCACATGCAATTCTAATACTATTTCCAATCTTATTTATAAAACCTCATTTATAGACTACAAACTAGATTGGCCAAAGGTAGCATTAAATAAAAAATACTACTTCCGGTCCTAATTATAAGACCCAGTTGACTTATTTGAGGAGATTAAGGAAGTAAGTTAAGTTCGTTATTTGTAATAAATAAGTGTTGTCATTCCTAAAATATCCTTGCTAATTAAGTGTATTGGCTAGAACTATCATTGTTAGAAGGACTATCTTGGAAAAAAAATGTATAAATATGAGAGACAAAATGGATTGAGATCTTATAATTAGGACCAAACAAAAAGTCAAACGGGGTCTTATATTAAGGACCGGAGGTAGTACAAGGTTAAGACTGCAGAATATATATAATAAGTAGGTACATGGTTTACAAGTGATTTTCACTCAAGTGAAATATTTTTAGCTTTATAGCCATGTAAAATTTAGAAATAATATGTAATTTTAATAAACCTAAAAAACATTATATAATTTATTCCTGACTTTGATATCCCTTTTTCCCCCTCAGACCATGGAGAAATGGGCAAGTGAGTACCCAATCAATTTATTGACCTCAAAATAGTAGCATCAAATGATTACTTAGATCCATTTTTGCTGTTCCATAATTAAAATACACAAATTATCATGCTTTAATTACGACTTATAAATAATATGCTTGCGCCAAATTTTATATTGAATATCGATTCATCATCATCGACAAATTGGAACTCCCATTTGCAGCCACTAGTAAATCTTACTACTTCTGATCTTAAATATAAAAACCATTGCACTATATAATATAACCTCTTATATTTAGAATCGGAAGTAATACAACGTGAACAGAGTAAATCTTGTACAGAACATATTGTTACCAAACCAAGTGCAAGAATAGGATTGACCCTGAAGAAAATGATGCTGCTAGGGGCAAGGATATATTTTACAGTCCTTTAACTTACAATTACAATAGGGGTTATAGTTCTTCCCCTTCAGGAGTTCTAATGATACAAATGCTACAGCAGTAGCGTAGATAGATATCACAGCTTACATAGTGCTAGCTAAATCTCCGCTATAAAATATTATATAGTAATTCTCATGTTACCTATTATCATCACTAGGCAAGAACATGAAAAAAGAATAAGAATTATCCAGAAGGACATTAGCTGATAATTTAATCTCTCTTTTCAAAAACCACCTCCATCCTAGTTGAAGGTGATTTCTATAGCATGATGGACTACAGCCATGCGGTTGCTTCAATGAGTCAATATACTGTAATATTTCTTATTGCTTGATTATAATTCTTCAATGGTAAAAGAAGAGCTTGATTGCTTTCTTCTCTTTGCTTCAGGCTCTCCCAAACGCAAGGAAACAAAACTATCTTCATCCGGGCCGTTTCGTAATGCTGAAAGACTTTTTAAGTCTAGGTGGTCTCGTTCTTGGTAGCTTTTATGTACTGGAGACTTGCCTCCATAACTAGGAATGAACTGGTGTTCTACATTTCTCCCATGAAACTCATTTGGCCTTAATGCGGGGTTGAGTCCACGGGAAGGTTCGTCCTCAACAGGAACTCCCTGGTTGTTAAAGCGAAAAGGCTCAAAACTCTTTTCAAGCCTATCTTTTGTAAGCACAGTGGAAGAGGATTCTCCAACTGTAGAATCATTTCCAACCGTAGAGCCACTCTTTTGTTCCTGGATCGCGGCTATAAAAGCAAAATAACAACAAAAGGCTTGTCAGCTGTAACTTAGCTTTACATCTGAATATTCAGCTAATTTTTTTGCAAATATAATTGTGCCAAATACGGATATATAAGAATACACTTAGAGTGCGCGCGTGTTCCTGATAAAAACAATCTCAGAACTGTGTTATTCAGTCACAAATCCTCCAGAATTTAGGCCTAATGGAGGGAAACTACTCCAGGCAAAGAGAACTGGAAACAGCTAGATACAACTACTGCGTATTCGAGAGACACTGGGTCTCCCAACACACTATTAAAACCTTTCTTACCCCTCTCCCTCTAACCAACACCGCCTTTACACCTTCCACACACTCTTTCCCCCAATGATCATGCAGAAAATACTTCAATTATGCTTTGCTAAATCCTTGGCCTTCTTCCTAACACAAGTCAACCTTCTTAAAGGCCCATGCCCAACAGTTGCAAATCCACAGATCATATTGGAGTAGGTCACTGAAGAAGGCATGACTCATGCCATACAAACAGACCAGTGGAGTTTATCTATTATAAATGTAGCAGGATTTTGAAACCCTTTAACAAGGTATAATATAACATCCATCAGCATTAGTCATGTTAATAGCCGCCCAGATGCTTTTTCCCTAACTCAGGTTTAAATGTTAAGGTCCTATATTTTTGGGCTGAAACATGATGGGTTAGTTACCCTAGACTGCTAGCCAAAACAGTTTCTTCTTGTTGCTGCAACCAAACCAACAACATTGGGCTGAACTGCTATTATATCAAACTAAAAATTAAAAATATGAAGATAAAGAAATTATATGCTTAGGCGGTAAGCTGAGTGCCTTTAACGACATTGGGCTGAACTGCTATCACATCAAACTAAACATATTCCTTCAAGGTCCATCATTTAGTAACTCCCCATCCCTCCCTAGATCCCTATATCAAGTATTCGAGACGATTTTCATATATCTAATAGATCATCAGTAGTCTAAGACAGGAATTTGCTATGTTTGCATGCCAGCAAATTTCACCCATCCCTCAGCACTGTTTGTAAAACAATATAGTACCAAATTGCAGGATAATGATGCTAACAATTCTGGAAAGAAAGAGACTAGAGTGATTGAAAGATTAACAACTGAATCCTTCAAAACACGAACCTTGAAGTGCTTCATTTGTTGTAATAAGTTTAAGTTCCAGGAGATCGAGAAGTCGACCGAGATCAACTCCACTGGTCCAATTCTCTGGTGATTGGCCAACTTTTAATTTCAAACGTCCCCTGTTAGCTGTCCCACCCCAGATGATGCCCACAGGCTGTGGCTTCTCCTCATTCTGACCAGTCAAGAGAATGAGGCTTCCACTGTCACCTTCAAGGTCAAATGTCTGCTGGTTCTCACCAACAACAAGAAAATCGGTGAGAAAACAAATCCCTTTCTCATCATTGTACTCCAGGGCATAGGCCATTATAGTCCCTGTAGTCAAACCAGAACTTCTTCCGACTTTAATCACCTGCCTTCCAATAAGACTGTTTATTGGTGACTGCAAGTCTATGATATTGACATCGCCAATCTCACCCACACCTTTTATAGATGTTGTAACATTATTCATATTGAAATCCTCAGCAAATGGGATGAAGGCTCCATCAGCTCGCACAAATGTCTCTGCAGTATTACAAGTCAGGATAAAATGAGATACACCAAAACATAAAACTATGATCAACAAATCTGAAGTGATAGATATCATGAGCTTTGCAAGCATTCTTGGAAGACGGTCATCCATATCAAGTATGATCTTTACACGTTATGAGAACTTAATGTCTGTTTGGCCATAATGTAAAATTATGTTGTTTTCACAAGAAACGGTTTTTTTTTATCCTAAAAAAAAAATCAGTTTTAGTGAAAAATCATTACTGCAAAAAAGCAGTTCATTGTGTGTTCAGATCAATCAGGAAGCAAGTTTCTATTCTTGCATTTTCAAATTTACTAGGTCATTAACTATTGATAAAAGTGTTCTTTTATAAAATATTTTTCTTGTCTTAGAACCATGACAGAAAGGTAGCGATTGGGGGCTGTGTGCTTGGGAGGATGGTGACCAGTGTAGCAGTGTATGCAAGGGAATCGAGAATCACAAAAATGGAAGTTAATTGGAAATGACTACAAATTGATGGCATGTGATGGGGCAATGGAGATCATGGTAGTGGTGGAGTGACCGTGGTGGCTTCATTGCCGGAGGATGGGTTACCCATGGGGTGATGGAACTTGCATAGGCAGGGCAATGGAACTGGGGTCATGCTGTTATCATGAAGGTGGACATTATGCGGGCCAAAGCTTATAGCTGATCTATAATTCCTTATTTATCTTCAAAAACAAAAGCACAGATTTTACTCA